GCTCAGCGGGCCACGGTAAAATTATCAAAGGCTGACTGGTCCGCGGTGATAAAAAGGTTGGGGACCACTGCCTTAGACTACCTTCCATCTATCAGGCCAAAATTTGGTTTCCTAATTGGAAGACACAAAAAATGTAGTGTAGACCTAAACGAGCTCGGCACAGTTCTAAAACAAAGAAAAATGGTACTTAATTCCACCAAACATTGGGGGTGGACAGTTAAGTAGTGTTTTTAGATCAGGTGAAGAAGACCCACAGAGTAATCATTTTACTGAAAGTTAAGAGTTGTTGCCTTTGATTTTTTTTTTTAAATCACATCAGACTGATACAGCCTTTTGTTTCATTAGGCCTGCGATAAAGACGTAGGATCTCTAAATAGAATGTTTGATACTTGTTTAATTATGACTTTGAGCAGGAAAATGGCATGGTGTGATGATTAAGATGGTGGAATGGGAGGAGAGTTCAAGTGTGTACTTATCGGGGAAATTCAAACCCCAGGTGACCTTGTGGCCTTCTAAATCTTTAATGAGACTCAGGCTTTGTGAGAAGCTGGCTAATAAACAAACCCCCCACCCCCTCGTTTAATACAGCATGCAGGCACCATTGTTGCATGTATCATTATTTATTTTCATTTTGCATTGACCATGTTTGTTACCATGTGAGTTGATTTTGCCATATGAACACGAATAAACAAGCACACAAATAAAACACCTTGATGGCTATACTGTCAAAACTAGGCTAATGTGGTGAAGAAACACGCGTGTCCAGCAACTTTGCAAGGCCAAAAGCTTAGAAAAAACAGCAGTTTATGAATGAAACAACTTTCAAAGCATTTTGCTATAAGACTGTATAGGTCATACCCACTTAATAACTACAATTGGGACCCACAACTCCACGACTGGTTGTTAAGAGGCACGGTGGCACGGTGGTTAGGATGCAGTACTGCAGGCTGTTTCTGCTGTACTGGTAGTTCGAATCTCACCAGACTCAAGATTGACTTAGCCTTCCATCCTTCTGAGGTTGGTAAAAATGAGAGATTATTGGGGGCAAGCGGTATATAAGTCTAAGTGCTATTGCTATTGCTAAGCAAGACTTCACATGACCGCAACTTGTGATTCTACTGCTGGTTTCTCCCTTGACTCTGCATGTCAATATGTACCCAATTGGTGATCATGTGGCCAAAGGAGGCTGCAACGGTCATAAACTCATTATTTGTAATGCACCCAAATCTTGATTGCATGGCCCTGGGGACCCTTTGATGGTTGTGCAAATACAAGAACTAGGCATAAAGTTACTTTTAAAACACCATTATAACATCAAAAGCTGCTAAACAGGGCAATTGTTAAGTGAGAACCACCTACAAGGTCAATAACTAATCGTGTTTCTCTGAAAATAAGAATGGGTCATATTAATTTTTGCTCCAAAAGACACATTAGGGCTTATTTTCCAGTTAGTTCTTATTTTCGGGGAAATATGGTACTAAATGCATCCATCTGGCTTATTTTCCGGTTGGGCCTTATTTTCGGGGAAATTCAGTACATATAAATTATTTTTAAATTACCTTTAAATATGTCCCCTATTCTGCTGTTGTTTAGAATAATCATAAACATCTGATTCTTTGGCCAGGATGTTTATCGTGCTTGCCATTTTTATTTTATCTTTACCTTTTATTATTTCTTTATTGGGTTGTTATGAGCCACCCAGAGTCAGTGAAAATCTGGTGAGATGCAAGTTTTAATAAATTATACGTGCAGTAACAGTTTGGTTTGTTTTCCCCCTGAAGGCAAAAGGTTTGCTGTGGAATTATTTACAAAGGCCGCTTTGGAGAAGTCCTTATAGACACCCATCTCTTCAAGCCCTGCTGTCGTAATAAGCAGCCTGCAGCCGAGAAGTCTCCACTTCCGGTTCCACCATCCTCCACCATCACCAATCAAGAAGAGTGGTGACTTCCTTAAAGGAGGCGCAGAGGGAGACGGATGAAACCTCTTCTGCCATTTATTGAAGTGGCCTTCCTTTTACTTTGGAAAGACCTGCTATGCTGCCAAAAGACTTTTATTTTTATTTTTTCCCCTCAAAGTGTCTGGAGATTTTGTTTTTTTGTTTTTACTGTATTCATTCTACTAATTCAGAGTCCCTTGATATCTTTTCAGAAAAAAAGACTAAGGAATATTGGCCACATGGTGAAGCTGAACGCTGCTGTGTTATCATCTTTGTTCAGCCTTGTTCCCACCCTAATGACCGGAAGGCTGGTGACCATGTGGAGCAGGGCTGATTGCAGTGTATGGTTAAAAAAAAAAAAAAGATGGCGGCTCAAGTAGTGCAATCAAAGCTCTGTCTCTTTTTATGTGTAACGTTGATTTTAAAAAGGAGAAGTCTTCAATTGCATTATTAGGGTTGCCATCTTGACTTTTCTAATCCTACTCTGCAGACACCCCTGTTATGGAGTATATATTTTTTGTCATAAGCAGTGCTCCTGCTTGGCATCATAAATTTTAGGTAGCCATTTTTTTCTCTCTATGTGGAGAGGGATGATGTCTCTTAAGGTAGTCCTTCCCCAGTGTAGTGGTCCTTCAACTATTCTGCTCTCCCAATTCTCAGTATTTTGAGCCTTTTTATAGCTGGGAATTCTGCTGGAGTTGAAAGGCTTGTATTTTCCAGGGGGTGCCTTGTTAGTAAATCATGGCATGAATTTGGATACTGAAGCTTGTCTAAGACTTCTTCTGCCAAGAGCTGAGGTGGCGCAGTGGTTAAATGCAGCACTGCAGGCTATTTCAGCTGACTGCAGTTCTGCAGTTCGGCTGTTCAAATCTCACCGGCTCAGGGTTGACTCAGCCTTTCATCCTTCCAAGGTGGGTAAAATGAGGGGGCAATATGCTGACTCTGTAAACCGCTTAGAGAGGGCTGAAAGCCCTATGAAGCGGTATATAAGTCTTATTGCTATTGCTATTGCCATGCATATGATGTAAAGTTTGCGGAGTTCTTAATTCTTACTACTGATGCTTCAGCGACGATAAAAGACACTTGACCTAATATTTCTTGATAGGAAGAATTTATGTGTGAACAGACAGAGGATGCATTTGACAGGCAAAACTAGCAGGCGTGAAGCTTGATCAGACCAAGGGGTGGTACCACTATCTTAAATCATAATTTGCCCCACAAACAAGATTGCAGGTAATTTATGCAGAGAAACAGTTTCTTCATGATATTTTAGGATAGGGATGGGCAACATGTGGTCCTTTAGCTGTTGGATTGCAGGTCCCACCATCCTTAACTGTTGAGCAGATTGGATGCATTTGACTGCAGTAGGAGTTCAAACCATACCTGGAGATCCATATATTGATCATCCAATAGAAAAATCAGTAGAAATGTTCTCCATTTCATAGGGATTGAACAACAATATGATGTAAACACAGTGCTATAGGACAAAACATTTAATTAACAAATAGGTTTCCCTTGGTATGATGCTACAGTACCTTATAAATATAAAACCTATGTTCACTTTTTCAGAGTGGGAACAGTTGTCTATTATCCATTCATAATACTAGTTCTTCAAATGGCCTGTAAGCTTAGAACCATACTACATATTTTAGTAAGTTCTTCCTTTTGTTTGAAAACTTCAAAGGAAAGCCATGTTGACCAAAATTCAGATTTAGCCCTTTTCACTCCCTTCTCTCTCTCTCCATGTTGTTGACTTATTTCTTATCCAAGGAACATTCCATACTAACGTTTCCCACCACTCAGCTGAAGAGCTGAACATGTTTTCTACGCCATTTGAAAAAGGAAAAAATTAATATTTTGAATCATATCCTCCATAAATATGTGTATAGCAAATCATGACATTCTTCTTATTTCAGCCTGACTATTGGGTGGAATCAATCATTGAGCAGGCTTGCTAGATATGACCGGAGCCCATTCCCCAGCCTTGGAGAGGTTAAATTATGTAATATATTATCTTAAAATATTTCACAGATTCACTGAATGGCTGCAGAGACCCACATGTACATTAAGGTATGGTTGTTGGTTATTTTAAATGTCTGTTTTGCATCTGTATGTTCCCCTTCCCGTTTGAGTTGTTCGCCGCCCTGAGTCCCTATAGGGAATAGGGCGGCATATAAATAAAATAAAACTTCAAACTTAATGCCACCTAGCCATAGTAAATATTACTCAGCATTCTTGAATCTTTGTCCCAGCTGCTCCCTCTGCTGGAA